TATATATATATATATGATAGTTTCACAAAATTCATAGTATAAAAAAATTGAAATGTAACATTTTTTTTATAAATATATCTATGCATTTCAATATAAATAATAAAATAAGAATAAATAAAAAATAATCATTTAAAAAGACTTTTATGTATAACCAAAATTAATTTTTTGTAAAATATTAGGTGTTGGAATTAATTCGTAGCGTTTTACAAGTGATGGGAAGTACTTTCATTAATGTATTTTTTAATGCTCATGTGAAATAAATAACATTCTTTCATTAAAAAACGCTACGAATTAATTCCAACACCTAATATATAATGTAAAATTATGAATATCTAAATTTCCATCAGTGTATATCGTTTTTTTTCGTTTTACAAATGTTTATAATTTTTAATACCTGTTTAATAGTATATTCATTTATTAAATGATGATTGTGTTCATTCAAAGTACAGTGCAAAGATACACAATCTGATTGGAACAGCAAATCCTGGAACATAATAAAAAATAATATCAATTAAAAAATAAATTAAAAGTTATTAAGAAATTTAAATATAATTTATATACAATTCAGAAATTTTTATAAAATATATTGTATTTTATAATACTGTACACACAAAGTATTTCGTAAGAATAATTCATTATTTTTAAACTAGAGATAATTTTTTCTGAAGAAAAGCTTATATAAACATGAATATGATCTCGAAAATCTTATTTCAGAGATATATATATAGAATCAAAATTAAAAATTGAAAATTCTATAAAATTGTTTTTTAATGGCGCTTAAACAAGAAACATTCTATTTCAAACTCAACTCATAAATAGGTATTACCTTTTCTTTTATCTACATATAATTGCCGTTTTATAATATATCAATACAGAAACAGAATTTAAATAGTATATTAACCATCCCAAACTTGTACGCCAAATCAAATTGTTTCACACATTTTTCATTTTATTACAATATATTCTCACTAAAAAGATATTTTTTTTAATTATTAGTACACATTTTTTTCAATTAAAAGCTATTTAAGAAAAAAACGATAATTTCATAGAATTTTTTACATCTTGTATCTCTCTGAAACAAGTCTCTCCTTCAAGATTATTATATGTTCACGTAAATTTTTCTTTACAAGTGACCTCAAAAATTAATTCCTAAAATATTAGACAAAGCTTGACAAATACATCGATATACATCGTAATGAAAAGTTTATAATTTAATATAAAATACATAAAAAATGTTTCATGTTTGCATATTATATATCTAAATCAGTTTCTGAATAATATCCAAATCAATTGTTACAAATCATTGTTCAAATATTTAAAGAATTTATGCTTTATTCAGAAATAAAAAATTTATATCTTATCATATCATATTCACAACATTATTAGAAATTTATATTTCTAAATGGACGCAATAGTTATATTGATTTTCTCAATAATATATGAAATTTATATAGATCATATACATAAAATAAATAATAAGCAGAATCTATACAATGCTCTTAAATCCTTTAACAAATTTTGACTCATATTATATCAAGGAAATAATATTTCCAAATGAATATTAGGTGTTGGAATTAATTCGTAGCGTTTTTTAATGAAAGAATGTTATTTATTTCACATGAGCATTAAAAAATACATTAATGAAAGTACTTCCCATCACTTGTAAAACGCTACGAATTAATTCCAACACCTAATAAAATATTAGCAATACCTAGAATTAATTTACACTATCACTCACAAATATTTGCTCATCCTATCTTTCTTAATTAAATAAAGAATTTCAATAATTCTTTTCTAATTTTAATAATTTCTTTTTCCTAATTTTCTAAATTAGGAAATTAGTTAGGCTTAATAATAATAATGTTTAGCTCAAAATTTTACTTTATATATATTGCTCCTTTATTTAAAAAATGACAATTCAAAAAATTTAGCTTCCTAGAAAAGAAAACCTATTTTTTAATTTGACAAGAAATTATTAACCAATTAAATAATCACGCATAAGTGAAAAAGGGCACATTCGATCAAGATGGTTCTTCGTGTCTAATCATATTTCTTTTGTGAATTTATACAATTTCCAGTGAATTTATACAATTTCCAGTCCAAGCTAACTATGCACTTATTATTTGGCACTTATTATTCTAACACATTCTTAAACTGTGAAACCGGAATAGTAATATCACAATTTAATAATTTCGATGCTCATAGATATCTTAAAAGAATCTTAATATAAAATCTCTAAAAACCTGTAAAAATAATTGCGAAAAATATTACCTCGGACGGGGATCAAGATCTTTTGCATTCCATGCGAATATTATCATCGTTAGATCACCGAAGCCTCAATAACATTCTTCGCAAACAAATAATATCAGAAAAAAAAAAGAAATATTTTCAACATGATCAAATGTCATTTTTTATCATTTTTGTATTCCACAATTCTTTATAAAAAATGAACTCTTTTTGAATTGTAATGATTTTAACAATTTTTTAATGAATTTAATTCACTTTTAATGACTAATAGAGTAATGCTTATTTAATTTATTCATGTTAATAACTCGAAATATACTTTTTGAGTGTCACTTTCGAAGCAAGGAAACAATATAAGAGAATGTATAATTAGAACGGAATTTAAGCATATAAAAGAGATTCATACAAAAATCAAGGCAAATACTTTTGAGCGAGTGTATATAACTTTATTTGTTATACAAATACAGCTGCAAACCTGTAATGTATAAACCCTGGTGAGACCTAATGATTTCTCGATACCATCCGGCAGATAAGGATCGTAAAAAATGACGGTGAAGCCAAAAGCTTTGGCACGCAACGCGACTGCGGAACCAATCCTACCGAGGCCGACAATACCCAATGTGTCGCCCCGTATCCTTGCACAACCAGTCGCTGCTTCTCTCACCTAAAATACACGCGCCAACGAAATGCGCGGAAACATTCAGATCATACAGAAAATTACAAAATTATTTTAAACAATATTAATGTATTTCCAATATAATAGAAATATAAAGATAGCAGTATATTTAATATGGGCGTAATAAAAAATGGAAGAGCATATTATTTTTGTCACATAAACAATAACTTTTTATTAATTTTTTGTTAATGAATTGCTTTTTTGGATATTTTAAAGTTTAGAATATCTTTCTCTTACTACTGATTTTGATTGGAGAAAATTGGGTTTTGTAAATTATAATTATTGTAACCACTTGATGTTAAAGACTGAATAAGTACATATAATTTTGAATGATGAACTAAATGTTTCGATATAATAAAAGTAGCGTTCTAACGAGTACAATAATATATCATATAACAAAATTATTCTATAAATTATAAAAGTTTTTTTCGGTTTAAAGTTTTCCGATAACTACCTTTTCAGTTTCCACCTTGCATGGCCAACTTTATACCCTTGCATTGTCAGATGACAATATGTTTACACATCAATCGTCCATGTGAGATTTAGAAGAAGTTGGTCACATCACAAGGCCGAAACTAAAGAGATAGTGTCGCGCGCAAATTTTTAAATTAAAATAACTTGTATAATTTGTAAAATATTCTTTTATATCATATATAGATATATCATATGTCATTGTACTTATTAGAACGGATGCAACAACTTATATTATATTGAAATATATTTACTTTATCGTGCAAAAATTATACATATCTCTCCGTTCTCTAATATAAATAGATGATTTTTTAAGTGATTACTATGTTTATAATAAAGTTTAATTAAAAGTTCTATTATAGCAAATCCGAGTAAATGCACTTAGTGCGCATTAAAATCGTACACAAATTAAAAATGTTAGTATAAATATAAAAACGGATTAAATCATGAAATCCTCAATACATTTTCTCGTGTTGTTAAGTAAAATCTATATTTTATAATTCACAATATTTGTATTTCACTTTTAAATCAGTGTACAACAGCTTTAATATGCACTAATACGCATTAGTATGTCTAATCGAATTCGCTATTAGTTTAAGATAAAAAGGAGTGACTCTTATAGAAGAAGACACTCCGTATAAGTGCCTTAAGTACATAAAAAAATTTTTTTCATTTTCCGAAGTTGAAATCACGAGTACTTTATTCCTCACATCGAATTTATGTATAAAATTTCAGATGAGTCGAGAGAGATCATTTGGAAATATATCCCAAATTAGTACAAAATCGATACTAATAATATCTGCTATTATTTTTTCTTTTTTTTTCCCCTGTTAACTTCATATTAAGGACATAGGACGAGTTTCTTCTAAATGGCATATGGTACACAATTATGTTTTGTAGCACAATTAGCACAAAATTAGTACTAGTTATATCTGCTTGAATATTTCTATTTTTTTTTTCTTATGGTCCTACTAATTTAATATTATACTAGTAGCGCTATAAGTTTGTTTTAAATGGGATATGATAAAAAATTATATATTTTGTAACAAGAACAAATTAACATAAAATGAGCACTAAATAGTTTAATAGGTCTTTTTTGAATCTGCTCATTTGGTCTGCTAGCTTGACAGAAGTATTTAATCTTTACAAGATAAAATCAATAATATATTTAGACAAAAGTTATTTAATCTAACAAGGTACAAATAATAGTAAAATTAACTTTGGAAAAATCAATTTTCATGGTCATGTGAAAAAATCATAGCCATTTTTTAAAATGTAAAATTGTATAATTTTTACATAATATAATTCCTGGATAAATAATTATTAAAAACACAACCAATAACATACGATCCACTAAGATTCTTATTGTTTAAAAATTATTGATTTTTCGATAGCTCTATCTTAATACTATTATATACAGAATAATAAAAAAATATTATATAAAAAATCATGTTAATTAAAAAAATGCCCATAAAAAATTATTTTCTTAAATTAATTTTATCCATTATTTGTTCCACAGGGAATAATGATAAAATCAACTTAAAAAGATCATACAACTTTTGTCCCAACATATGTTTGATTAAACTTTTTTTTTCTGCAAAGATAAAATGAGTGATAAATTAAAATGGAATATCTTGTACAATAGCTTTTCTAATCTAATTTTTAATATACATACATATAATATACATACATATAATGACATAATATTTTTGAAAACAAGATTTACCTGTTCTGGTCCTGTGAATTTTTTGCCTTCGCGCACCATATTGGCAAGCCAATAAGTGCGCCGATAAAGATTTAAGATGAGACAAAGGGTAGTATCAGCCACTTCTTCGACTCCATAGCCAGGCACATTACATACTGCAATGCCAAGCTCACCAGCTGCTTTGACGTCGATGTTGTCTACACCGGAACCAATTCGAACAATGATTCGAAGTGTCTTAAACTTCTCCAAATCTTCCTTCGTCAGAATTATCGTATGCCACATCAGTGCACCCACTGCTTCATTTAATACCTGCGAATACCATTATATTATATTTATTTCCAAACACGTTATTTGTTTTAATAGTTATATATAATAATTTCAGAAGATATTAAATAGAAAATATCAAATATACATAAGAAAATATATATATATAATTCTAAAAAAAATATTATATATAATATAAAATATTAGACATAAAATAATATTTACACTAAATGTAACATTAAATAAGTTATAAAATAAAAATATATATTAAATATATA